AATTTTGTTTGATGTTTAGGAAATTTTGTGTGATCATTGGTTGTTTCAATCATAAGTTTTTGAAACTATCTTAGTCACATAGCTATTACAATTATAATTAATTAATTAATTAGGTTAGTTATGTTTCATTGGTTGAATTATAACTTTATTTATAATAATACTTGTTAATTTATTATTATTTTAAACTTAATTAGGTTAGAATTAGAATTAATTAGTTTAATTATTTTATATATTATTATTGAAGTGTGTCGAGATACATCGTAGTGATCAAACCCGAGTAGTCGGAGACCATCGGGAATTAAGGAGAAATAAGGTTAGTTCAATGCTCTACGATGAGACTAGGAATAAGAGTTTGTGATTTAATTTCGATAGAGTATTCGAGATAATTATTGGTCTTGGTGTGCATAATGTTTGTATGATCATTTGATGTATTTGTTAATTGGAAAAAGTGCAATTTATCGGAGAGATTCCGTCAAAATTTTGTTAGATGTTTAGGAAATTTTGTGTGATCATTTGTTGTTTCAATCATAAGTTTTTGAAATTGTCTTAGTCACATAGCTACTATGTTTATAGTTTTGGCAACTAAAATTTGCATTTTTTATTTTATCTCCTAGCTACCGTGTTTGTGATCATAACATAAAATAAAATAAATAAAAAAATAAAAAGAAGAAGAAGAAGAAAGAAAGAAAGAATCAAGTCCGTTCGATAAGATCAATAGCAATATCGTTTTTTTTTTAAAAAAAAAAAAAAAGAGGAGAAGAATCAAATGTTTTTCTTAAAACGAGTAACAAACCGAGACTTAAACATCGGCTTTATAATAGCTTTGAATGGTACCAACATAAACTTTAGATTGTATCCTTCTATTCTCAAACATACTTCTTGTGAATTGTTGTAGTCCAATTCAATGCTAATTGTATTACTTCGTCCCAAAAGTGTGTCCAAATTAGGTACACTCAACTTCTTCCTAGTGTAATTTTGTTAATTAAATGCAATATTTTTGTTAATTAAGTAAATTTAATTATAACGAGCTAGTAAAGTTGACGAGCATATAGACTCAATTGAAACAATTATAGGGTTGTTAAAGAATCTCTAACGACCTCCTTTCCTTCCTCGCTAACCCTCTCATGACTTAGCAGTTAGTCATTCCTCTCAATAGCCAAGCAACCGAAATATGCATGATTTTGGAGATGATGATACTAAGGAACAAATTTCTTATTTAAAAATTTTTTTTTTTAATATTTTTGTACATTTTAACTCATTTATATGTTTATTTTATTTTAATTTATGCAATTTTAATTTTATTTGATAATATAGCGTGTTTTAATAAAGTATTGTTTATATTTGTTTGTTGTTACATTAATTACCAATAAACGACAATTCATTAAAAAAAAAATAACGACGAAATAGAGATGATAATTAGCGACGAGTGAATACTCGGTCGCTAAATAACAACGGAAATAATGATGGAGTTATACGAGGATATTAGCAATTAAAATTTAGGGACAAGCACAATCTGTCGCTATTTGGCGATAGAAATAAGCAAAGATAGCGAGACGGATACGAAACGTAAAAGATGACTCGATTTAGAACCATTTAACGATAGAATATCAACAAAATAGCGACAGATTTTCCGTCCCTAAATAGCAATAGAAAAAAATTTCATCACTAAAAAAAATAACTACCACCATTTTAGCGATAAATTGGATTTTATCTCTAATCTGTCACTAATGCCATTTAACAATGGACTTTTAGGAAACAATGACAAAAAAAATCGGTCGCTATTTAGCGAATTTCCTGCAATGACTTGATTAGCCAAATTGCATTGTTTATACTAGCTTAAGCATAACGCAAGAGACTCAAAAGGATAGTTACATTATCAATGCATCTATGTACGTAGAATAATTAAAAATGCTCTTCGAAAAATTTTAAGAGAGTTCAAGAATAAACTGTATGTCTTGTAAAAATTGTAGGGAAGATTTTTCTAGACTTGAGCTTTGGACTCGTGCTATGTACTTGAGCCGAGTCAAATTTAATTTATAACAAGGCATGCATAATGAAATCCAGGCAACTGATCAAACTGAGGTGCATCTTGAGGCATTCATAGACCGTGCAATCTGAGTGCTAACCTCGGTTGAAAGCGCCAAATCTTTGAAAAAGCTCACTAGTAAGGTTTTCTTCCACCTCGGTTGAGCTCCTAATTGTCGTGATGCTTCTCAGGTGAAATTGGATATGGTTGTTAATATCGATGATTCACTGTTATTTAATAAGATTGTTTTCCTAATGAAATTGGATATTTCTTGAGAAAGGTTGCAATTTCATGGTCTGAAACAAACTGTACAGCAGGGGACATGGCGAATGCATTCTGATAAAATTTTGTTTCTTTTTTGTTGGATAATGCCGCGACTCGGCAGGGACTTGAGATGAAAATGGGTGTGGGTGGCAGAAGGTAGAGACAGCATCATAATTTAGCTTTGTTGCTTCACTCCTTGCTTTCATGGCAATAAGTTTTTAACATTAATGGGTTTAAAATTCAACAAGAGTCCATTTGAAAAATGGTAGAAAGAATGAATAAGTTTAAGCAGCCAAATTGGAATGAAAAGACTCTAAATTGTGGAGTAGAAAGTTCGACTTCAAGATGCATTGCGGCTTTCGTTTGTAGGTCTCAAGACCCTGGCCCAGAAGATCAAGGGCAGGCAGGAATTAATGAGATGAACTGAACCATTTAATTGCTTTGTGGATTCTCCCAAAATTAAAGGGTTCATTTACGAGTTTCTATTTTTAATATGATGTGGAGTATGTTAGATCATATTTCTACCTGCTAGAATAATTGTGTAATTTCTAAGGTATGCGATTCTTGGAATCGATGCTCTCTATTAGGTTGCCAAAAAACAATTCCATAAAAAAACAAATTTTGAAAGTGATTATCTTTCAACATTTCACTCTTATTTCTTTTCTTTTCTTTTCTTTCTTTCTTTTTTTAATGAAAAATGAGCTACAAAACTTTTCCAATGACTATATTATGTACAATTTTGTTTATTGGACGGTAAAAATATTTTTAAATTAGTTTGTACTACACGTTTTAATATATTAGATTAACGTAATTATATTTAATAAAGCACAACTTCATATACATATATTATTTTCTAATAATGTTGTATATGTTAATTTATTTTGAATATATTATATACAGTAACATATTAGTTTACTATCGATCGTAGAAATAATACATTACATATTGATAGATAAATTAAATTGTTTTTTTAAAAAAATATTTTATGTATTAATGGTTTCTTTGAACAACGAATATTAAACTAATATGGTATGAATTTATAATTTTAATATATTATCTAATATAGCATAATAGCTAGTGTATTTTATAATTATATATGTATAATGGAATAATAATGAATTCATGATAAGCAATTTTAGTTCTCTAAGTCCTATTGGGAAAGTGTTTCCCGTAAACCTTCTATTTTCCTTGGACAAAAAAATGAATGCTATTATATATCAACTTTTTTCCCAAAACTTCATGTGTTTTACTTTCTGGCAAACAAACCAGCCTTAATTAAGCATAAATTGCATGGTATGAGATGGTACTTTGGTTTTTCTTCTTTGCGTATCAAGCCATTAACGGGCAATCAACGAACATAATGATGGGTTGAGGATTAGGTTGAGGTCGAGGTTTCTTAAACATGGGACGACAGAGATTGTTAATATGTATTAGGTAAATTTTTTTAGCTAGAATAGAAAAGGACAGCACATGAGAATTTTTTTATTAAATATTTTCATAAGATTAATTATGTTTAAATAAGAACGATAAAATTTAAACTTTCTCGACAAATATAAAAATATTTAAGTAACTTCGATATGCAAGAACAACGTTAAAATGGTAAGAAAAAGGAAGAGTTAAAAAGGCGCCATGAGCGTTGAGACGAACATTGAGCGATGACATGCGGATGTTAGTTGAAGAAAGATGGACCTAATCTTTCCAACATCTTGTATTTACATTGACGACAGTAAATCCATGAAAGGAGACAAGGCATGACCATTGCCCACCCACGCCATCACTATCACTGTAGTTGATAGCCCACGTCATCTTGATCAACACGAAGAACGAACTGACTCACTCACTCACATAAAGACAACACCAATGCCCATTTCTTCAACATCACTGTCACTGTACATTGTATTAACACAAGCTTTTCCATTAAATTTTATGGATTACTAGAAGCTGGAAGTTTTATTGGGTACTGCTAGATCATGATCTATATATCTTCTCATATAAAATCAACCTCGATTCCAACTGGGTAAAGTCAGAAACTTTCTTTCTTTATCTTTTCTGTTTGTTTGTATGATTAGTTCTTCGGTTTATTTATTTATGTGTTCTTATCTTTTTCTAGATAACATTCTTTAATGTAAATTATTAGGGAATAATTTTAGTGTCTCAGATCTCTATTCTTCTGCCACGTGATATCTCATCTTGTTGTTGTACATAAGTTGAAAGAGTTAGTTGAAGAATATTAGGTTAATCAGACAAAACTGCTTGAAATGAATTGTCCTTTGAAGGTTTTAGAGAAGTGCTCTTCTAATATACAGAAGTTGGGTTGTCTTTGATACAAAGGGTGGTGTTGGTGTGGGAGTACTAGTATGTGGTGAAAGGGTGGTGTTGGTGTGGGAGTACTGGTATGTGGTGAACTGGAATTTACCAGTTCCCAGATTCCAAGTCTTAGTTCTGTTATATATCTTGGATAACTACTAGGAACTTGTTGATAATTATAAATTTCTGGTGCATATGGGATCCATAATTGAAGCTGAGTTGGTTTTTTATGGTTCTTGTAACAGGATATTTGGAACTTTTTGATTGAGTATTCTGAGGGATGAGAACTTTGCAGATATTCCTAGTTCTGAATTAAAGCCGGTCTGATATGTGGAATAACAACTGAGAGCATTAATCGATTTGCAACTCTGAGTTGATCCCAAAAGATCTGAATTATTGCAAAATGTGTAGCAGTAAGACCATTGTTTGGTTCAGGAGGGACCTTAGAATTGAGGATAACCCTGCATTAGCTACTGCTGCAAGGGATGGTTGTGTTTTCCCTGTATTTATATGGTGCCCTAAAGAAGATGGACAATTCTACCCAGGTCGAGTGTCGAGATGGTGGCTGAAGCAATCTCTGGCTCACTTGGGACAATCCTTGAAATCTCTAGGTGCTCAACTTGTTCTCATCAAAACTGATAGTACAGTTGCTGCTCTTCTGGAGTGCATTGAAACCATTGGCGCGACAAGAGTGGTATTTAACCATCTCTATGGTATGCTTTCTTTGTTTCTCTAAACATGATCCCCCACCAATATTGAACTCCTACATTCACTTGAATCAACTCAATGAAGAATGACAACTTACGATTCTTTCTATATGTTATCTGTCGAACTTTGTTTAATCCATGCCTTAAGATTCATTGAATTGGGTTTTTTTCATTTTTTTCATGGTGGGATGGTGGGGATTGGGAGAAAGTGTCAAGTTTTTTTGCAACGGGTTATAAGAAGATTATAAATGTTAATGATTCTATTGTTCAGTTGAAGTTATTGCATATTAAACAAGGGAAAGCAGGTTGCGGTTTTTAAGATAAAATAATAAAAAGAGCATGGCTTACGAAGTTAAGAATATCCTAGTGCAGCTGCTCAATGACCCTTAAAGAGGTGGAAGCTTGTCGTTCCTTATCACTAACCTATTAGTAAGTTAAAAGAAATGCTATATAGTTTTCTTAAAGTAGACAATAAGGTTTCTAAATTCCAACAGAGTTAGGAATTAACTGATGGTACATTTTTCTACTTTGAAAGTGCTTTTGGCGTTTTTCTTGGGCGCTCAATCACTAGGCACTCAACATTCAAGATGTCGATTACTCCAAGATTTTCACTGAATCAATCATTTAACTTGTGCACTGATCCAGAGACACACATCAAACAGGGATAGTATATATAGTCAGTGCATAAATCATTTACGCCTTAAATAATCTAATAATATAAGTAGTAGATGATCAGCTCTGTATTGGTCTTTCTAGTGAGTATGGCATTGCTTTACGAATGATAGTTTTGAGTACAATTCCTAGTTTACTTTCAAGAGGTGTTTTACTTAACAGCTAATTATCATGCTGTCCTTTCATTCTTTTTCTCCCAGATCCTGTCTCTCTTGTTCGTGATCACAACATCAAAGAAAAACTGGTGGAGCTTGGCATTTCTGTACAAAGTTATAGTGGAGATTTGTTGTATGAACCATGGGAAATATATGATGAAAGAGGGCATGCTTTTACAACATTTGAAGCATACTGGGACAAGTGCTTGCACATGCAGATGGAACCTGTTTCACATCTTCCTCCATGGAGATTGGCACCTGCTGCAGGTACATTTTGTTACTGGGTGGTCTTTCAGTCTGGTTCTCTGATTCTGTAAATAAAAATAAATTTAGAAAAGAAACTTTTGATTTTCGTGCAACTGGAGATTAAATCTCCATGTCTGTGTGCATTTCGGTGAGCAAAATGAATAATTGATAATTTTCTTTTTCTTGACAGGAGTTGTGAAATCTTCAGTTGAGGAATTAGGTCTTGAAAATGAAGCCGAAAAATCTAGTAATTCCTTGTTAGGAAGAGGATGGTCACCGGGTTGGAGCAATGCTAATAAGGCTCTAACTGAATTTGTGGAACAGCATCTAATTGATTATGCAGATAGTAGGCTAAAAGTTGAGTCCTCCACCTCACTTTTGTCCCCGTATCTTCATTTTGGAGAGCTGAGTGTGAGGAAAGTTTTCCAGTGTGTGCAACTGAAGCTGTTATTGTGGGCGAAAGAAGAGAATTCAATGGGGAAAGAAAGCGTGAATCAGTTTCTTAGATCCATCGGGCTTAGGGAATACTCCCGTTATCTTTGTTTTAACTTTCCGTTCACTCATGAGAGATCATTGTTGAGCAACTTAAAGCATTTTCCATGGAATGCCAATCAGGTCCATTTTAAGGCTTGGAGACAGGGGCGGACTGGTTACCCATTAGTTGATGCAGGAATGCGTGAGCTTTGGGCAACTGGTTGGATACACAACAGAATAAGAGTGATTGTTTCAAGCTTCGCTGTAAAAGTTCTTCTTCTTCCATGGAGATGGGGAATGAAGTATTTTTGGGACACACTTTTGGATGCAGATTTGGAAAGTGATATCCTTGGTTGGCAGTATATTTCAGGGAGCTTACCAGATGCTCACGAGCTTGAACGCTTGGATAACCCAGAGGTACGTTGGAATATTATGTTTATTCCAGCATTTGCAGTAGAATTGTATGAATTTCTCCAACTTCCCCAGTTGAAACATGCTAAATTTTGCATGAACTTGAAGCATGCTAAATTTTGAATGAACTTTTCCAACCTCACACTTCAAGTATGTAACACAAGGCAATTTAGAGTCACTTGCATGTGATTCGTGCTGTATACAGTCATGTCCAAAACATAGTTTCTCAAGCTTCCCATTGTTTTTCAAGATGGCTGGATTGTGTCTCAAGCGCATTGTGATGCAACACTGAATGGAACTTTCTTTTTCATGTTCTTCTTTAATGCTACACGAAAACATCCTTCCTTTGGTAGAAGTAGCATCATTGAAACTTGTGGAAATGACATCCCCAGAGTTTTGCATATGGTTTGAAATTAGATTCTTGAACTTTTGATGGCATGTTATATTATAAATCCTTAGAACACTTGTTCAGAAATTGAGGTATTTTGGGATGTTCATGATCTCATCTTCTGTTTTGTTTTGGCTAATTTATAAATCTCTGTAACGTTTATGATTAGATGAATCCAGATATCATAGGAAACTGTGGATGCATCTGAAAGCCATCCCTTCCTTGATTTGAAATGGGCCAGTATCTAATACCATGTAGTAAAACAATATCTAGTAAAATTATAGTAGTAATAGATGGTGGCAGTATTCGTTAAAAGTACTCTTTCATGCCTAATTTTTATGCACTATGTGAGTCAGATTCAAGGCTCCAAATATGACCGGGAGGGTGAATACGTGCGGCACTGGCTGCCTGAGCTAGCAAGAATGCCAACTGAATGGATCCATCATCCTTGGGATGCACCCATTACTGTGCTTAAAGGTGCTGGGGTGGAATTGGGACTAAACTATCCAAAACCTATAATTGATATAGATTTGGCTAGAGAGCATCTAAAGGAAGCTATATTCAAGATGTGGGAAATGGAAGCAGCCGCAAGGGCTTCAAATTCAAGTGGAACAAATGAAGTTGTTGTTGATAACACTGATGATACTGAAAATTTGGCCATTCCAAAGGTTGTCTTAAAGGAAAAGGCTCCTTGTCCTACTAATTCATCTAATGATCAGAGGGTACCAACAAAACAGAATTCCGAGAATAATCCAGCTTATAGGAAGAGATCAAAGTACATGGAAGAAGAAAGACCAGAACCAGATAAATTGCATAATGATGATAATGTGGTGGATACATCAAGAAAGGATGAAGAATTGTGCTCTACTGCTGAATCTTCAGCAGCCAAGAAGCAGGCCACCAGCAGATGTTCCTTTTCTGTTCCCCAGTATTGTTCCTCGTCAGAAAGCAAGCCGTTGCTGGAGTGCGAATCTTCTGACCTCAAGCAGCCATGGCAAGCACAAACTGAAATGGAACAGAGTTCGAGCAAAGATGGTAAGCAGTTGCACTTTCCTTTCAAGATTTGAAGTGAATCTGATTTCTAGTTCTCTTATCATGTGCTGGTCGTCTGTCAAAATCATCACTGAAAACAAATTGGCATGGTTTTTTCTGCCTACGTTGTTGCTATGGGCTACTAATGCATGGCTGAGATTTCCTTCTAATAAATTTGCATTTGCCAAGGGAACGTACATAACAGCCATATCAATCATCCATGCGCATCTCCACTTTCAATCAAGAAAGAGAGCTTATTTGACAGATAAGCTCCCTTGTTTTTCAGGGCCATGTTTTGACATGACAAGCTTGTAAATTTGTTTCTTATTGTGAGTGCTTCTTGCTGATCTTATCTGCATTTGTAGACAAAATCACAGAAACAGGGCTCAAGACATGTAACAAAGTTTTGGATTATGTATGTAACATCTTATATGGATGCTTTTATGGTATAGATGTGCACAATAAAAGAAAAACAGTTGAATAAAGCAAGCAAGCACCCTTTTGTGTAGTCAATCTCTTATTTCTGGCTGGTGGATGGGTCTCTACTGGAGGATTCAGAATGTTATCTTGAGCTTTATGCCTGCGATGTAATATCAGATTACTTGTGCTATTTTTGTGTGAAAGAAAAATTTCACTTACCAAACCCATTTAATTTGGGGTATATTGATCAATACACTAGTAACTCATTCAAATTTTGCATTGAGCCTTTCATGACTCGTACCCCTTTTCAAAAATAGATTGATATGGATGGCTTTTGCCCCGGAGTCATCAGTAACTACTTGCTGGTGTATAACTAGAAAAGGCACTATAATTGTAAATAGCCCTAGAAAATGTCCTCCTATTCTTCGCATTTTGTTAAATCGAGGCCCAATCTTTCTCCCACAGACGCCATTAAGACCTTGAAACCTAGTTTGAAGAAAAAGTATTAGAGATGATCCGGAGTCAAAAACTTGAGAAGATTATGACGTTTGGCTTTTTTCCAGGCTGCCCGTGGAATCGCTGCTGCGGTTCAAGTGCGCCTGTAAAGCATGGTTGAGAACCATCATTTCATCGCCAACCACTACAATATGGCCTTGAAATCATACATCAGGCTGCTTGTTTGGCAATTATATGTCCAACGCGGGATGGCCTCCTTCCATCACCCATCTTTTCCTCGCGTGTAGTGAAACGCTCGATCCCATTGAAAATCGTATAGCTTCGCCTCTAACAAGAAAGACATGCCGTGCCCACAGCCCACCAGTCCTTTTGACTCCTTGTAACGGCGTAATTTGCTTTTACCGAGCTTGTGATGGCATAGCGTTATGAAATCCTTCAACAAGAGAGTCCAAGGTTTTGCAGATTCATTATAAAGTGGACCTAAGGTGGATTTAGTTTTGATTTCTGAGGCTAAAGATTTCCAGATAATAGGATTCACTGGTCACTGGGATTCCACCCGCATCATATTGTACAGCCTAAAGTGATACTTGGAGAGAAATTCCTGACGATCATGTGGCCACAGAACTTGCAAGACGTGCTTCTTTTGTTACGTATGTGAATGGATCTTTTCATTTCTTGTCAAAGAATAAGTAGGATAGGAGTGTGATCATTTCATTCGACACTAGTAATGAATCTTTCCGAGTAACTACAGCATGGGAGGATATTCTTGATACTGGGCATCAATGAAGATGCCAGTACATCTGCACATGTGCTATTGAATCAAGCAACGACGACCCTCTTGTTGTGAGAAAATAGACGGCGAGAAGAAAGACCTTGAAATACGGCTAACAGAAGATTTCCGTGTGAAGGAGTCTTGGATTAAGAACTACGCGGTTGATCAATTTGATGATTCCTTGCTTCCTTTAGCATTTTGGAGCAATAATAGATTGCTTCTACATAGGTTTTTTACATTTGACCAAGTCCATCCACCCAAAATACCAACCAGAACAAAGTTAATTGTGAAGCTGATCTACTACAGTGAGACTACGAGAGCCCCTAAGGGGTGCTCTTGACTACGTGGGGAGCCTGTTTCCAATCAGGGGAAGATGAGGACCAGAGGATCAAATGAAATTTGTTAGAGAATTAATTTGATATTTGTTTGAAGATTGAGCCTACCATATTTGATGGTAATTTTGAATTTCCAGTATCCACAACATATTGTTTTTCTATGGCTGATGAGATGGTCTTTCAAGTTATGCCTTCCGGAAAAGAAGTTCTGTGAAAAGAATGGAGCAGTACTTATTTATTTGGTGCTCAATTGCAATTTGAAGTGGTAGACTTGAGGCGAGTTTATATTAGATTTTTAGTTTTCAAGTACTACAAATTCAGCAAGTATTAGGGTTGTTTGTTAAGTTTGTTTATGCTGTTTATGGTTCTAGTTAGCCTATGAACAGTCTTGTATCAAGCAAAGCTTAGTGAAGCTTCCTTTTATCAATTAATAAACTCGTTTTCGAGACTAAAACGATCTCTCGTAGAGTCCATGGCTTTATTCTCAAAGCCCAATGGCATATCAGTCTGTCTATAGTGCTTTCGTCCAGCGTCACGTACTTGTGCACTTAAAGCTCAAATCTTGAGAGGTCTAAAGTACCATATGATAGGATGAGGCATTCAACTGTAACTTTTACTCGAGGCTGGACAGGTTGGAGCAATGCTGAACACTTCAACTTTGCTTTAACACTAAGATCATAGTGGTTGGTTTAGTTAGCCCCTTGCCTTATAGGTCAGCTAATACATCCAATAAAATATCATGTCAAAACAGTTTTTCAGGAAAGTAATAAAATAGCCTGTGACTGATGACTCATCAGTCATGAAACGAAGGTATGCAATTGCTTGTAAGAAAAAGGTTCAATGTATGACAGCTAGATATCCTATAACATCAAACATCCACTATGTTGAAGTTGGATTTTTAATTCCTATGATCCCTCCTGGTGATGTTTTGCAGACGAGAATGAAGGTCGTGCTTGCAGAGGCATTGTTTAATAGATTGGCACGAGTCAGGTCTGATAACTAAGTTTAATGTAGAAAACTAATGTTTTTTAATTTCAACATTGGCTAAGAATGTTTATTATACATTCTGCTTGGAATTTGGGCAGGAAACAGGACATGTTATAGCCTCTGCAAGCAACCAAAAAGGCTAAGAATATATAGTAGATAATTGTCTTTGGTTATGGACATAACGAGGTCTCTTCAAAAATAATTTTAATCCAAAAACTCAACAGCCATAGTAAAATAAAATTTATATTATTTTTTAATAATATCCAAATAAAGATGAAATAAAACCTGAAAGCAAACTTAGCCAGCTGGAATTCACAACTGGCTTTATCAGCAGCCGTAGTCTACTGAAGCACAACTTCTTGGTACCATCGGGAAAAAGACAGATTAAGGTGGTCGGCAAAGTGGCTTTCTTTTAGAGAAAATTAATGACTTCTTTTTGGGTTTTCCATCCTTTTTATTTCTGTCTTCTGTGGGCTGGCAGGGAGGAGTGGGGACTAAAGAAGATTCATATGTTTCAAGGCCGAATATTAAATAATTAATTGAAATGGAAACCGGAGCATTGCTTACCACGAGATATTTGTTTCTACTTGTATCAATCACAAATTCTAGTGAACAGCTTGAGTATGAATTAAAAAAAGTAGCTCTTTGAACGAACAAAGAGCTATAGCTTCCTTTAGGGTTTTCTTTGTGATTGTCCTTCCTTTGTACCTTATATATTGTCCGGATTCCGTAGCAAATCCAACTTTAAAATCGCAAATTAATATACCCTACGACCCTTTGCTTCCTCCAAAAGTCATGAAAAGCACCACCTCATGTCTCCCACAGTTCCTTTTCGCAAACTTCTTTTGTCCCCAAATCTTAAAAGGTCCCCCGCTTATTTTGCTCGAATCATACCGATTGCGAAAGAAATTTCATGGTCTGTCTAATGTGACAAAAACATCATTCGTTGCAGAAAATAAGATCTGTAATCAAATGGATATAGTTAAAGAAGTTTACTATATTTTTTTAATTTCTAAATTTTATAGATTCAAATTATCTAAACAATGCAAAGTGTATGTTCTTAAAATCTGTTAGAAGGAATTTAGTTTTAGAAAACGAGTACAATCCTTCCTATACTTGTATAAAAGAAAAAAAAATGATTTATCATTTTGTCATGATTTGATAATTTTAGATCTTTAATATAAAATTATAAATTTTAAATTTTAAAAGATTGGTTTTTGAGTAAAATTAATCAAATTTTTCTAATTATTATCGTATGTAATATTTTAAAAACATTTTTTATTTTTTTAATCTTTAACATTTTTTTTAACTATAAAATAAATATTTTATAAATTATATAAAAAATATAACGTATGTGATTGATATTAAGAAAACAAAAAGTAAAGATGAAAGAAAGAGTAAAGTAAGGAGATTTACAAAATCATTAACCCTATCTGCTCTCTCATTACATTTTGGTCAAATGTTTATTATTTATTGATAACCAAGTACCAACACACTACCCCACTGTCGTACAACTTCCATGTTACGAGAAGACCTGACCCGTACGGAGTCTTAACTGCCTCTCAAATACATCCTTTAAAAATAAAGGAAAAGGCCGTGTCCGTAATTTTCCCAGAACAAAGGACCTGTTTCTAATCCAGCTGCTCTTTTAAGTTACAGTTGCTTCTAACCGTTAGATCCAATTCTGTGCCGAATATTCCATCAAACATTCCGCAAAATAGTATTCTTCCTCTCTTCTCTTTCATTAAAAACCAAAATCCACACCACCTAACCAAAAGTACAGCTTATATCGCAACAGCGACGGAGTAATGAGCGAAGCACTCAACAGAGACTACCAAGTCTGCGAGGATATCGGCCGTGGACGATTTGGTACTGTTTTCCGATGCATCTCCCGCTCTACCGGCGACTCTTTCGCCGTCAAATCCATTGTCAAGAGCCTCGTCTCCGGTGATTCCCTCGAAGAACAATGTCTCTTAACGGAGCCCAAGATCCTCCACCTCCTTTCTCCTCACCCCCACATCATCCAACTCCATAACATCTACGAAGACGAAACTCACCTTCACATGGTAATCGATTTGTGCTCTAATCAAGACCTCCATGATTTGATAGTCACTAACGGCGTTCTTTCAGAGAACGAAGCCAGAGTGGTTTTTAATCAACTGATGAAAGCTATCTCTCACTGTCATAGATACGGTATCATTCATCGAGACATCAAGCCTGACAACATCTTGTTTGACGAGGAGAATGCAATTAAGGTAGCTGATTTTGGATCTGCTGAGGCTGTAATGGAAGGGGAGATGGTGAACGGTGTAGTAGGGACACCGTACTATGTGGCCCCTGAGGTATTGTTGGGGAGAGAATATGGAGAAAAGGTGGACGTGTGGAGTGCTGGGGTGGTGTTGTATATAATGTTAGCTGGATTTCCGCCGTTTTATGGGGATACAGCTGTGGAGGTATTCGAGGCGGTTTTGAGAGGAAATTTGAGGTTTCCGGCCAGAGTTTTTCAGTCTGTGTCTACAAGTGCGAAGGATCTGTTAAGGAGGATGCTTTGTAAAGATGTTTCCAGGCGATTCTCCGCTGAACAAGTGCTAAGTAAGTTCAACAAATTAAAATCAGATTTTGTATTTAGAGTTAAATTCTCCCCTTTTATTTTGAATTAACTGTTAATAAAATCTTATAATTTTGATTTCCATGGGTTTATTTTCAGGACATCCATGGGTGGCAAATGTGGCTGATTTAACATGAAGGCAAAAAGAAAGTGCAAGCGGCTTAGACTGAGGATACCTGTTCCTGTTCTATGTACATCATAAGTGTGTGCTTTTTAATGTACAGACGGTAGAGTGCGGCAGCAGAGACTATCCTACTGGGTTTTCACTTAGAAAGAGGATGTATTTTCTTTTCTTTTTTCTATTAACCTTAAGTAAATGCTGGCTAGTGAGGAAGGGGTGTGTAAAGGAGTTTATTACCTGAACTGTGGTGTTTCTCAGGAGAAGGAGCGTTAGCGGATGAGTTTTTAATTATCCTTTTTTTTTCAACTAATGAATGAATAGTTGTAATGTAACGGGAGATTCTGAGTTTTCTATGGTATAGTTACTTATTGCTTATCGTTTGAGAATCTTTTCTAGCCCAGCTTTCTTCGTTTCTATCATATAAAGTTATGATTTTGTTTTATCCTAATCTTCATCTCTTTAGCATGTTAGTAGGGTAGGGATTGTCTTGCATTCCTAACGGATTGCTTGCTCTCTCTTTTTCGTTGGAATATTCGATGCTAGCGTATACTTGATTTGAAATATTTTCTCCAGTTTTTTTTTTTTTCGCCTAATGGGAAATTATGTATTTATCGTTGATGGCTAAGTTTTTGAACTTCACGTTCATCATCATCAAAATGCAGCGAGTCTTCTTAACAAAAAATAGATTAATATTTTATTTTAAAAAAAAAAATTGGATTCTTTTGCAAGTTAATTGGAATTCAAGTGATCACAGTGTCCCAAAGTCTTAAATTCCTCGAGAATTTATATTGGTTTTGTTAAAGCATTCGATTGCTCTTCGAGCCAAGAATCTGATTTCCTTCTTAAATGAGAGAGCAACTTTCCCAACTGGTCAATAAAATATGCATGTTAGGTAATTTTCGGTACTAATAAACTATTCTATTTGGTAGTTATTTGTATTGAATAAAAGTTTATATAGTTAAAATTGAGAGATAAAAATAAGAGAATACGGTTACGTGTAAAAAATATTTATATATATATTCTTAAAGTGATTATTGTTCCCATTATAATATTGTAAGGATTTTGACAATTCATCTTTAAAATTCAACTTTGCACTTGAGATGGTAATTCACTTTTATGATTCAACTTTGCATTCAATAAATTATAAATAACACTCCTAAATTTTTTTTAAGAGAATTTCTTTTGAGGTTGTAGAATTATTGTAGAATTTTATGAAGAGAAGAGTTTTTGGAGAAGGATTATGGAAAAAAAATTTAATAATTTTCTAAGCGGTAATTCTTTAGTTATAAATTATAGAAAGCCTTTCATAACCAATATAACTGTCGAAAAATCAATATGATTCAATAACTCATTATTACCTTTTAACCGTAATGATCCAACGAGTCATATTTTTTAAAAAATAATTAATCATCACATAAAAACATAATTAATTGATTAATTATGAATTTAATTTCATCAAAAAGAAAGAATAAATCAAAAATTAATTAATTACATGTAATTCTTCTCCTCTCATTTGAGTTCCCTTCAAATATTGAATCTCTTTGTTAGAAATCTACTTATAAAGTACTCTTTCTTTTCTTCCCTTTTCAATATAGGATAAACATCTCATTTGAAAACACTCTTTTCACGACATTTAACTTATTATCTATCTAAGCCATGGTTTTCCAACAATTTGTGATTCAATTTTTTGAACAAATAAATATGAAAATTAAATATTCTCAATTGCTTAAATTTATAGATAAATCCGTTCAATTAGTTTTGAACAAAGTTGCAATGTATGCTCAAAAACGTTTTTTTAAGTATCTATATTCTTAATTTTAGATATTTTAAGTTTCGACAAGAGTATAATACTAGTATTGTTTAAATTCTTTAAACATGTATATATATATAACAGATCAAACCTAAATTCACACTCTTAACAGTTTCCTGAAATCAATCAGCATTAGCTATCAAGTAGAGGTTAAATGTGTAAATTGCTCTAAGGCTAGAACATGATAGCCGTGTGATCCAACGGTTACAACTACCACAAAGGGTGGGTTTTGGGCGCTCTGCGTTTTGTAAAAGAAATAGCTAGCAATGGCAATGGGACCCAGCTCCGAAAATTTTGTCCCGTCACCACTCCGTGTCCTTCGCAAATAATATTTTTCATATCATTCTCGCTTTAAACAGTGATAGGGATACTTATGGGTCACCCATGTCTTATTTAATTTTTTGTTTTGCTTCATTTCGTTTCATTCTATTATTTAATTTTAAATTATAATAAAAAAATAATAATTTATTCAAAAAATAAACTTTAAGAGTTAATAATCATAAATTTTATATAAAGTATAATTATAATTTTAAAAATAGATAAAAGCAAACAAAACTAAACAGGTAAATATCATCCTATTTAAAATAAATATAGGATGGGACTCGATCAACTCGGAAAATTATTGCATTAACTAAGACAGGGTGAGATAAATTGTCATCCCTAGAAATAACTCTGGTCCCACTTCCTTAGAAAGTAGAAAGGCATAGATCCAAACCATCTTTTTTTTTCTTTCTTTATTTTATTTTATTTTTTGAGCAAATCAATCTCCGCACGTACTTTGTTCACAAAATCTACATAAATACATATACTCTAAAATATTTATAATAGCATCAATTTTGCATTGAAACTATTTATCAAATTATTTTGATTTTGCAATTAAAAATTTATATTAAAATCATTTAACTGATAGTGTTAAATTTTCTATAAAATGATATCGATATTTATAAATAAAGTACAACATGGATAAAAATATTTATGGAAAGCATTCGGAATGATCGAAAGTTTTTAACGAGGAGTGCTAGCAGCATTTTTCCTTACACTCTTCTTTAAACACTTGCTCTATAAAAATATCCATCTAAAATAATAACAAATAAGATAACTCGTGTCTTATATTTTCAAGAAGTTTTTAAATTATAACTGATTTCATGTTATCTAAAAAAACTAAATACGTGTTATTTATTTATTTATCTTTAAAATTATATGAAAAAAAATGTTGACGTTGACATTTTTATTGATCAATTGTAGAGTGTTAAAAGAAAGCGTTGCTAACACCTTTTGTTTTTAATTAAAAATTGGTGGAAGTTTGGAGGTAAAATTAAGAGAGACCTTTAAGTTTGAGTGTTTCTCATCTGCAGTACGTTAAAAATTACTAAATACAAATATTTATGGAAAGCAATTAAAACGAATAAATAATCTCGATTAAAAATTCGTGCAAGTTTGGAGGTAGAATTAAGAGATAACTCTATTATTGATGGATATTTTTTAAGTTTTTCATTAATTATAACTGTAACTTGTAAGTTTGAGTGTTTCTCATATCGAATAAGTTATAAATTAGTCTTTATAATTTTAAGAAATAAATTAATTAGTTTTTTTTTTTCAAAAACTGATTACTTAGTTTCTATATTTTTAAACTTTCTTGTAAATTAAAATTTTTCATTTTTTTCAATTTATTTTGAGAAATTAATAGAGGAAAAATAAGTAAAAAAAAAAAAATTGGAAGGATTGATAAAATAAGATGATATTTTTTAAAAATAAAATAATATTAGATTAAATATGTTCAACGTTGATTGAGGGACTGATTAATTAGTGTTTGAACAAAAAAAGAACTAATTAATACATTTCTAAAAAATAGAGTGAATAATTTATAATTTACTCTCTTATATCTGCAACTTTTAATTAATTAAGAAAAATTTCTTTTCTTTTTTCATTTTTTGCAAAGACTAGTAATAAATTAGAAGTCAATTGGTATCACCTCTTTCAAAAAGAAAAATATACTCTCAAGAAGAATTATGAATATACTAAATTAATTATAGCAATGGGTTTATTTTTATGGTATGCGCTTATTGAATTTCCTTATGGACTTCCTTCCATTTTATCTTGAAATTTTCAAAACTTTTCAATTAAAGACTTTCCTGTATTTTAAAGATTTTTTGTCCATATTTTCATCCATTATATATATATATATATATATATATATATATATATATGAAACGGCGTTATTTTATAGGGATTTAATATTTTCTGTTAAATGATTCTAAGAAAAGTTCTTAATTGAAAAATCAATATAATTTAATGGTAAAATTGAAATAAACAATAGTTTGAATGTAAAATTGATAATACTCTAATAATTTAGTGGCATATTTGATGTTTGTCCAAAAAACAATTATGCTTTTAACTACTTGCATCTAATATTCATAATAACTACAAAGTAAAATAACATTTCCATTAACACATTACATAGTAATACGCATTTTATATAATCATTTTGGCAACAAATGTAAAACACTTGCGTCATTATTATTATTAATAAGGCTATGTTAGTAATAAAAATCGAAGTATTTAAGTAAATAATAATAATAATATAATTTCTTTGAATTCTCATGAATTGAAGGATGTGATTTTATTCTTTTAAAAAAAAATAACAGATTTTTTGTTCCAAAGGAATGTGATACCTTCTAAAAAATTTGACATTTCATGACAAAACAAATATATATATTTTTGGAATCTTTCATCATGAAGAATTTGAGATTCCATACCAAATGCTGAGGAATCCCTTCCCCCACATACATGTTTGTCTGACCGATTGTACAATGAAAATGATACAAGTTCTATTAGTGTTTAACAACACTGAAAAAGAAAATATAACAAAAAAATTCCAATAAAACTCATGAAATTCATTTTTTATTCATCAATTGTTTTTTTAATTGTTAAAAGGATATTAAAAATCTTTAATTAAGAAAACTAAAAAAGCCTAATGATACTGAATAGGAAAAATAAAATAGAATTATGACTAATTTCTTAATAAATCGATTGCCTAATTAAATTAAAAGTAATAAATTCTAAAATAAAAACTTAATAATTAAAGAAAGATTACAATTAAAATATTTATGCTCAAAATTATGAAATGCACTACCCGCGTCAATCTCTCTCACTTAAAAAGAACTCATCTTCGAGTTCACCATTATTAGAAATTGAACTCTTCCTTG